ATGAGTAGTGTATTAATTAGAGATAATTATCCTATGTGTTAGGTGGAGGATAGTTCGAGATTTTCGAGTACGATACTTTTACCTGCTAGCTTACGAGGTGAGTCTTCTCACTATAATTACCATGAGTGGTACCTTTGTGTGATTGAGATGTTTATTGTGCTTACCTGTGTATCTTAATATTATGCATTATGTCTTTGTGATTTAGGCTGAATATTGTTATTATGAGTTTACTGAGTTGGGACCGGAGGGTCCCACTGAGACACATTGACCGGAGGGTCTTATTGAGTTATGGCCTAGAGTGGCTAATGAGTTATGTGTGGTATTTTGGGGAACTCACTAAGCTTTGTGCTTACCGTGTTATGTGTTTCAGGTACTTCTAAGGATCACGAGAAGGCGCCAGCTTGATTGTACACACACATCAGCGATTGAGTTATGATTTGGAGGATCCTGGAGTTCTGATATATGAATAGTTTTTGATATGAGATTTGATAATTTGACATTGTGACATTTTGTGATTTTATTATTGAGATAAATGTGTTTTTAAATTAAAAATTTTGGTTTGAAAATTTACGTTGTTACATTTATTACTTGTTTAAATTAGTTAACATCTAGTAGAATTTAGCTGATATTTCTGTTCCTTATGTTCGATACCCTACTTACCTTAACTATTCTGCTATTCGATTAGGTACACTGCCTATTGCGTATTATTTAGTCTAGATTAGTAGATTTATTACTTAGTACATAAAATACATATTATCTTACTATTTACGTATTTAATTAGTTTTCTGATTTTCTATTTTTCTGAATAGAAGTGAAGCTTGGGTGGGTAGTGGCAATGAAATTAAAGTTTAACTCACTACAAAAAATCTAATTCCATTGTTGCCTTTTGAACCAGGTGGTTCTTATGCTAAAATATCCTTATCAATATTTATGGGATTTTACCAATAAATATGCATTTTATATGGACAATATATGATAACACATGTAATTTTTGGTGTTTTAACCATGTTATTATAAATGTGACACTTAAGCACTCCAACATACCGGCCTGACAGCATATTCATATATGAATACACATATTCATATTTGAATACGTATTCATATATGAATATAAATAAATAATTATATTCATATATGGATACATATATTCATATATGAATATGGCGGCAACGGTTTGTGGCGGAGATAATGGTGGTTGGTGATGGAGGTAGTAGTGACGGTGGTGGTTGATGGCGGTGGTTGTGGTAGAAGGGAGGTGGTGGATTCATATATGAATATATTTACATTTATATTCATATATGAATATTACCCATCCTCGTGCCGGTACGACGGAGCCTTTTGCGGCAAAAATAAATGATTAACTGAGAATGATTCCCTTATTCTTAACCTTTTTTTTCAATCGAACTTAACTCTCTCTCTCTCTCTCTCTCTCTCTATATATATATATATATATATATATATATATATATATATATATATATATATATATATACACACACACATTAGACGAATGTCCGCGTGTTGCGCAGAAACACCTATATAGTTAAAGTCTTTACAAATATATATTTTTTAAATATAACAATAACATCGTTGTTAAATTTGATATAATAATTCGTATACTAAATTGATATAATATATTGATTATTTTGAACTATATGATAATATATACATCTATTATAACTTCATAATCTCAATCGTTTGAATGACTTCTACCCGCGAGTTACACATGAATAAAATTAAATATAATATATGGTTTAATGTTATTTATAGTTTTTATTGTTAATTAATTTTTTAAAATTTATTTGCTTAATGTTTTAATTTCTATCATTATAATTATTTAAAACATCAAACATTATTTTTTGATTTTAAAGGTAACAATATAATCATTTATATTGAGTTATTTTTAACTATTGTTATTGTAAGTTATTTTAAGCTACTTATTTGAAAACTTTTAACAATTATAAAAATATATTTAGGAAATATTTTAGTAAAATTGACATTACAATTTAGTTTTTGCATTTATCACTTTTAACTATTTACAAAATGCTCTTTGGTTTTTTAAGTGAAACTGAAATTTATATTAAAGTTGAGATTGTAATGTTATATTTAAGTTAATAATTTAAGTATTTTGTCCAAATTGTTCACTATTGTAGCTTTAAACTGATAATGATTTACATATAACAACATATTAAATATAATAAATTAAGTATAATATGTTAAAAGTTAAAGACATAACTTTATAAGTAGAAGTAAAGATATTATTTTAAAATTGAAATTTAGTTTATTTATGATTACACTTTAGGTTTGATATTTATTTAACCTTATTAACCAACTTATAATCATTATTAGAAATACACTACAATTTATCACTTTTTACTAATTACAAAATATTCTTTGGGTTGTTTAAGTTAAACTAAAATTTATATTTAAGTTGACCCTGTAATGTTATATTTAAATTAATAATTTCAGTATTTTATACAAATTGTTCCAAAATTGTATCTTTAAAATGATAATGGTTTACATCCAATAATATATTAAAACTAATAAATTAAGTATAATATGTTAAAAGTTAAAAAATATAACTTTATAAGTAGAAGTAAAGATATTATTTTAATATTGAAATTTAGTTTATATATGATTACACTTTAGGTTTGATATTTATTTAACCTAATTAACCAAATTATAATTATTATTAGAAATAAATTAAAAAGTTATGGGAGTTTCAAATGAATGTGCTGAAAGGAAAAATGCATGGGAGTTTCAAATGAATGTGGTGAAAGGAAAAATGTTTCATTTATAAGTTTATGATTACACTTCAGGTTTTATATTTATTTAACCTTATTAACCAACTTATAATCATTATTAGAAATACACTACAATTTATCACTTTTGACTATTTACAAAATATTCTTTGGGTTGTTTAAGTTAAACTAAAATTTATATTTAAGTTGACCCTGTAATGTTATATTTAAATTAATAATTTAAGTATTTTATACAAATTGTTAGAAAGAAATTGAAAAGTCATGGGAGTTTCAAATGAATGTGGTGAAAGGAAAAATGCATGAGAGTTTCAAATGAATGTGGTGAAAGGAAAAATGCTTCCTTTATAACTTTATGATGATGATGATGATTACACTTTAGGTTTGATATTTATTTAACCTTATTAACCAACTTATAATCATTATTAGAAATACACTACAATTTATCACTTTTGACTATTTACAAAATATTCTTTGAGTTGTTTAAGTTAAACTAAAATTTATATTTAAGTTGACCCTGTAATGTTATATTTAAATTAATAATTTAAGTATTTTATACAAATTGTTCCAAAATTGTATCTTTAAAATGATAATGGTTTACATCCAACAATATATTAAAACTAATAAATTAAGTATAATATGTTAAAAGTTAAAAAATATAACTTTATTAAGTAGATGTAAAGATATTATTTTAATATTGAAATTTAGTTTATATATGATTACACTTTAGGTTTGATATTTATTTAACGTAATTAACCAAATTATAATTATTATTAGAAAGAAATTGAAAAGTCATGGGAGTTTCAAATAAATGTGGTGAAAGAAAAAATGTTTTATTTATAAGTATATAATGATCTATATATATATATATATAATATATATATATATATATATATATATATATATATATATATATATATGTTTAGGTTCTATGGAAAACAAAAAACCCTAAAAATCCTAAAAATGCATAAAAAAAATACTTAGAAATCACAAAACTTTTTTTTGAAATTTTTTTTAAAAATCGTAGTTTTTTCTTAAAATTCGCTGAAAAAAAAATAAAAAATCAATTTTTTTATTATTTTATTTTTTTTATAAAAAAAAAGTTTCAAAATTTTTTTCAGCGAATTTTTATAGAAAGCTGCGATTTTTTCAAAAAAAATTCAAAAAAAAGTTTTGTGATCTCTAAGTATTTTTTTATGCATTATTATGATTTTTAGGGTTTTTTTAGGGTTTTTTTGTTTTCCAAATAACCCTTCCCTATATATATATATATATATATATATATATATATATATATATATATATATATATATATATATATATACTAGGTATGAGACCCATGTATTAAATGAGTTTATTTAAAAAAAATTAAATATGAAATTTTAACAATATGAGAAGTTTGAATTTATAAAAAAAGTGAGAAAAATTTTAAATTATTAAATTTAATGAGGCTTTAATACATTGAATATATTACATATATAAAGCCTTTCTAATAAATATCTTACATATATATTACCTTACATATTAAATGTGAAAATTTTAATTTAATTAAATGAAAATTACAATAAAATTACAAGTGGAAAATAGAAAATTCAAAAATTATAGAAAATGACATGTGTCCAAATGAAGGAGAAGAGGACATGTGACAAATTTTTTTTGATTTATTAGGGAGGATATATATATATATATATATATATATATATATATATATATATATATAACGACAAATCTATTGTACTCATAAATCTATCTATATCGTAGATGAGACTTGAATCTCGACTTCGAAAATTAAGGAGAAAGAGAACACCTGATAATACTGCTAATACTACTAAGCTAGAAGCCATTTGATGATCTAACTTATACATGCCCCGATAAAGGAATACTATGAGTTGATCCCATCTATGAATCTAGGGATGCACATCTATTCGGGCTCAGACCGGACCATACTAAAAACCGAAAAACTAAAAACTGATTAAGTAGGAAATAGAGAATCGAGATCGGACCGAATACTCCGATTTGGTTCTACAAATAAACCGAAGAACTAGAAACTGATTTAGGGAAATAAAGAAATAAGAATCAAACCTAATACCCTTATTCAGAACCGAATACCCTAGTTCTGATTCGGTTCTACAATCGAGAATCAAACCGAATACACTCATTCTAATTCCAACCCGAATCTGATCAAGAACAAAAAATAAACAAAAATCAATTTAGAGGAAACCAAGAACCCAAACCAAACAAAATACCTCGGTTCGTGTTGGGGTTTGGGTGTTCCGTGGTGGTCAACTGTTGGTCCCTATATGAATCTATGATCCAACATTTGGGTATCCTGGAATTCTGAACACGTGACCGAGGGTTTGAGGCAATGCTCATCGTCAAAGCAAACCACCGCAGCAGAAAATAAGAAAGGCGACGAGCAGCGTGGAGGAGGCTCTTTTTATCAACATAATCAATTAATGGCGTCGTTCAATTGGGTTTCCTTTCTTAGAATTACTCTCCTTCTTCTCCTCGTAGCCGCCATCACCGTCGCTTGCTTTACTCTGCCCGTTGAAAAGGTCATCATCTATTTATCTAAGCATTTTGGATCTTATCTTGCTTTAGCTGAATCATCGATTTCTTTTTTTGCGTGGTTTAAGTTTTTATCATTTCATTTCATCTTCAATTTTTTACTTGATTTGTTTTACCAAATTTACTTGTTTCCAATTCACAACCATCTGGTTTCCCTGTAATATGGGCTTCATTTCCAATTCTGATTCATGTAATTGGAGATGAGCAGGCGAATTATTTGTTTGTTCTAGTTGTATTTTTCCAACTTGAAGCGTCTGTTCTGTAGAAGTTATTTATTGTTTATACTTTTTGCGTTTTTTTTTCCAGACATTGAAGGACTTTTTGTTATGGATTGAGCAAGATCTTGGTCCTTGGGGTCCTCTTGCATTGTAAGTAGACCAATATCACTGTTTGTGTGAATCTGAGGTATTACTTGGCTTCAAAAATTGTTTGTCTTGTTAGAATTCAATCATAAATGTTTGATCAACTTATTATCAGTTGTAACAGAGAGTAGGATGGGATTATGTAGAGTGGTTATCAGATTTAGCTACCAGGCACGATTGTATTTCTGAAATATGAAAAAGAAGATACCATTTCATCAGATAGTTATATCTCACGGCCAAATCTAAAATATGAAAATCCTAACAGAAACTTTAAGGAACTAATAATACCCAGAGCAGAAATTATTACAATATGTGGTCCAAAAACGAGCAAAATAGAAAAAGATTACTTTAATGTTACAAATTAATAAAATGAGTAACCCTTTTCCTCAAGGATTATGATTAGCTCAAATGTCAAATTCTGAAAGATCCCAAGTGTTGTGAGTTTGTCCATTGAAGTAGCAAAACCTGTGAGTTGGCTGTGTTTCTCTTGTCTAGTATTTCCAGTGGCAGATGTGGTGATCACCTTCTTCAAGTTAAAAAGTAGAAACGGTCCCTCCCTAATTCCTACACTCCTTTTCAGGAGCAAGTTTCATATCTTAGCCTGTCCTGTCTCATCTCCTGGACAGTTGTGTAAGGTTGCCAATTTGTGGAAAACCATCATGTGAACTGAGGGGGTGTTTGGGATTGCTTATTTAAAATAATTTAATACTTTTTATTTTTGTAAAAGTGTTTGGTTTAGATTATGCGGATGAATTGTTTTTTAGTGCTTGGCAAATTCTGCATATACATGTACAATGACAGACAGAGATGAAAGGCGCGTCGTTGGTCATGAAAACATATTATTTTTAGGGTTAAAACGAAGGATTAGTAGGTCCTGAGGTATGAACACTTTTAAATAAGTTAGAAGGAAACAATTGATCAATAAGCACTTTTTATTATTCCAAACATTCAAAAGTCCCATATTAACCATAATAAGTTAATGCTTTAACTCAAATACAAACCCAATCTCCCACTGCAAATGCAAATGCAAATGTTTCATCCCCTCCACAACACGAGAGCTTTTTGGTGGAGAAGCTCAACATTACTCAGTAGGTTTTTTAAGTTTGAACAGCTTATTTTGAACTTAATCAGTAGTCAATAAGCTCTTGAAAAAGCTCCAATTCTGGATGCTCTAATGTTTGTCTGCTGCTGCAACAACGGTGGTATTGGTAGAAAGTTAAAGTGGTAACAAATGTATTGGATCAAAAATAGGGAGACATTCAAAGCGTGGAACGTTGTATGAGTATGACTAGTCACTAGTTTGCTAATGGAAGCCGTTTAATGACCCATCCAGAAGTAGTAGTAGGCGGTGGGACTGGGACTGGAGGGACCCATACATATATTTCTAGGTATCTATCTGTTCAGTGATATCAATAGCGAGCATAGCGACCGCTATTGCGTTTTGCGAGGCGAGGCGTTCAAGGGTCGCTATGGGCTCAATAGCGACTGCATCGCGACGTAGCGACATTCTTGATTTTTTTTTTTTTTTTTTTTTAATACGGTATCTATAGACCCGTTTTAGGGTTTTTTTTAGTTGACTAAGTCAAAGAAGGTTCATACGCTCTTCTCTCGACCCCGCCTCCCTTCCGCTTCTTCAACTATTGCCAGCTCCTTTCCTTCTTCCTGCGATTTCTCTTGCAATCAAAGATTAATAGTCTTTTTTGGTAGTATGCATGTTTTAGAACTTATTTGAGTTAATAGTCTTGGGATTTTTAGCTTATTTATTAGTTATAATTGCTAATTAGGTGAAAGTAATAGTAGTATAAATTTTTTAATAGGTATTCTCTAAAAATGAAATAGCCGTCGCTATTTGATCGCTATCGCGACATAGCTTATAGGTAGGTTGTCGCTATGACCTCGCTATCGCCATCGATAACACTGTATCTGTTTAAGATCTCAGTTTGTCCATGTGAGCCTTCCAAAACTTAGTTGGTAAGGAATCTGTTACTAATTGATTATGTCAAGCTTGCTTCATAAAAAGTCTAGTAGCTACTACTGTGTAAAAGCTTGGAAGTGGTCAAACTTACTCGATAACAAAATCCATAAAATTTCTGGAATCTCAATTACCAACTGCTTGTTGGACACTTTCTGACTTGAGTTGCGGGTATACTGCTATCTATGGTTATGGTATGAAAAAGTTTAAGCTTCAATGATCGATCGATCCATCCATCATATTCATATGTATGTAGTAAGTAGCATTTTCCTACCACACACACTAAGGCTGTCCTTAAGAACATCTCTTTAAGTGCTGGAGGTTTAGCAACACTAAGTGCAATTTTGTTGTAGTCAACATATCTGAAATACCCAAACAACTAGAGAGGGCTCTTCTTCAAAAGTTCAAATTGCATTGCTCTTTGTGTCTGCAACCCAACATTGGTTTACTTAACATTTATGTGGTATTAGTATAGGGTTACATTCACATTCTTTGTGGTCCAGAATATGCTGAAGAGCATGATGATCGGTCTTGGTCTTCGTCTTAATAACACAAACCTCTCATCTCCTTCTCTCTCTCGGTATCAAGTCTCTGCTATTTGAAGTTTGTTTTGGATCAAGCAACTTCCATGTTCACAAGTGCTAGAACAAGAATTTGGGATATCAAATCCCTTCCCTGAATTAAAACCTTTTTTCTTGAGTAATTCAGTATAATAATACTTTAAAAACTGATTCAAGAATACCCTTAATTCCCTTATATTAGGTTGATGTCGTTTAACTATGTCTTGAATTCCGCATGACTGAAATAGTCCGCTTGGCTGCTGCATAGACTATTCAACAAATAAAGAATTCTTCCGGGTGAAGTACTTTTGGTGTAAAAGAAACAAAAACAAACTTCCTTAAATATTTTTTGAGTATCGAGTTTGTGGGATTCTCGCATAAGTTCATGTTCACAATCACCACACTCAAATACTTGGACATGACATCATCTTTCATCTCACCAACCATTCACTTCAGAGGTAGAGGTAGAGGTAGCTAACAATCAGATTTAGCTGCCCAATTCACTGTCAGCTACTGCACTTGTATTTCTTAAATATGTATTTTTTAATATATATATATATATATATATATATATATATATATATATATATATATATATTTTGCATCATGGGGTTGCTACCTTAACAGAAACTTTAAGGAACCAGTATCCAGATAACAGATGAAAGCCTGTGGTCCCAATGTCACAAATATAAAAAAAAAAAAAAGGTTATTGTAATATTCTAATAAATAAAATGAGATGATATCAGAAGGCTTTACTCACCCACTAAGCTACAAGGGAAAATTGCAGATAATAGCAATGTACTTTGCTCTTGCTTCTAGTATGGGCAGTCTACTTTTTTTTTTTTTTTTTTTTAATAGCAACACACATCTTTTTACCCATGAACGTCTAGGATTATTACTTTGTCTTGATTTTAGTTTCAAATGAACATTTTTGTTAATTAGATTGTACATGGTTTTGACATGCAGTTTGTCTTTAGATCATATCATGCGTATCTTATGTGCCCTACTTTTGTCTCCAGTCCGGCATTTATCATGCAATTAGTGACAAAACGATGGTAAAGGCATGTCAAATATACATTTGAACAATGCTGAAGCAATAATATGATGTATACTAATGATAATGTTGTTTATTGAATCAAGACACCATGTCTGTCTAATACAGCATACACTAACATTCACCATTTCATTGATTAAAACTTTTAGATTCTGTGACTTGTCTTTGCCTCTGTGTGTGTGTGTGTGTAGTTATAACTTGAAACTTTCTTGGGTTGGCAATTGGCAATTGGCAATTGGCATAACATAATCATACCTAACCGAACTGACCCTGCAGGGCTGTTGCATATATTCCTTTAACAGTTCTGGCAGTTCCTGCATCAGTACTTACTGTAAGTTGATTTCAACACCCAAAAGCAAGTGTGTGTGTGTGTGTAAGTGTATGTGTATGTGTATGTGTATGTGTATGTGATAGTGATAGCGGTGTTTCTTCCCTTCCAGCTGGGTGGTGGTTATCTCTTTGGTTTGCCTATCGGTTTTCTTGCTGACTCCATTGGTGCTGTGATTGGTGCAACTGCAGCATTCCTTATGGGCAGAACAGTAATATTATTATTTTTTAAATCAAGTTGTTTTTATAGCATGCCATGATCGTAATCTTGTTTCTCTTAAGTTTCTTTGCAGATTGGGCGATCGTATGTTATTTCCAAGTTGGAGGATTACCCACAGTTTCAAGCTGTTGCAATTGCTATTGAAAAATCTGGATTTAAGGTATTTTGATTCCATTTTTCATATGGTGGGTGGGTTTAGCATAAATAACAAAAGTATTGGCATTGACAATCAAGCTACAAATTACTTAAACAGCATAACTTTTGCATGTTTTAGGTTGAAACGAGCAAGAAATCTCTTTATCCTTCCTTTTTATGTTTATGGAATGTAGCAACTACTTTGAATTCTAAATCCGGAATTCACAGGAAAGGATATTTATTACGAGGGTGCATATGTTTTCTCAAGGGTCATAGATCTATCAAAAGAATTGCAATCTTTGGGCATGTTTGCTTAAGATTCCTTTCCATGGCTGCCGTGTTTGGTTGCCTTGTCAAAATGGATGGAATTTGATCCCATAGGCATTCAATCCTTTTAATTCCATGTTTGATGGATTTCAATTTTCAACATTCCTTGGTGTGAGTAGAAAAAATTTAATTCCTTTTTTCCTTTTTATTAAAAGACCAAAATATCCCATTTTATATATATATTGAAATTGATAAAATTAACAATATTCCATCATAAATAATTACTCTAACTTTTATTTTTGAAATCCATTTGATTAAGTATCGACAAAACGTGTGACATTATAATTCCTTCGAATACCAAATCCCTCACATTTCAATTCCTTAGACGTACGTATCCAATTCTTTCCAAAAACATTATGTGAACCAAATGTTCCATTAAGAAATTAGGATCGTAAGGAATTGTAATATTTCACGTTTTTGGTTGGGCAGGAAATAGAATGGAATTCAATTTTATTTATGTATTTATTTATTTTAATGCACACTTAGAGGCACACACACACACACACAGTTTCAGAAATATTATTCAAATTTAAATACCTTTTAATTATACTTCATTATTTATTCATTTTAATATATACATATAATGGGGGGATATGTTGGCCATTTACCAGACAAGGGAAGAAATGCTATTGAAATCCTTCCGAGCTTGGGAGGAATGGTGAATTCCATCCATTTGGCAACCAAATATGCACCATTTTCGTCAGATTCCATTGGACCTTAAAGGAAAGAAAAATACATAACATACTATCATTTTCTATAATGCATTGCAGCTGAATAGTTTTGTTCTTTTGTTACCCTTTGACCTTACATTAGCATAGCAAATTAATTAACATTTTTATAGAGAATTATTTCGCGGTGATGTTTTTGTTATTGCAATTTTATCATATACTACTATTTTATTGCTTATGATGGTGTTGGTGTCTTAAATCTTAATGATATGATAGAAAAAGAATTGGTCTAAAATAAATTATGTTGGCTTGGCAGATTGTCTTGCTGCTTCGGCTTGTTCCGTTACTTCCGTTTAACATGTTGAATTACCTTTTATCCGTGACTCCAGTTTCCATATGGGAGTACATGATGGCTTCATGGTTGGGAATGATGGTATGGTATAATCAATTCACTCAAGACATTTAACCATGCCCTGTTTTCATACTTACTTATACTTATTACTTATGTGGTTATCAGCCGATTACCTTTGCACTTGTGTATGTTGGAACAACTTTGAAGGACCTGGCTGCTGTTACTCATGAATGGAGTCAATTCTCAAAAACTCGTTTGGTAATATATATATGTCTATGCCTATGCCTGTTTTATTTTGAATATTTTCTATTTTTTCGTTCATGCATCTCATTAGTCGTGCTTGTGTTTGACTTGGAATGCATTCATTTCATTGCCTTGTACTTACTGGATGTCAATAAGAAAACCTTTGGTAAGGTCATCCCTAGAAACTAGAAAGTTTGTTCTGTGTCATCCCGTCCTAGAATTAGTATATAATTATCTAATGATGTTTGATGGTTTGAATCGTGAGAAGAAATACCAAAAACGCAACAAGAGTTGTATTGTACAACTTTTAATAATTTAGTATTATTAGTAATTATGGTATTTATCTTATTATTGCTGGGATTTGATTTGTTTGTTTTTAAAAGTTTCCTAATTTACGTTTAGGTCAGAATAAATTGGGGAAGTTACGTTTTGATTGGTGATCTCCCTTTCTTTTTTTCTTTCTTTTCAATTCCATTATGTATACTATGTGATTGATGATTATACCATCCATCTATCTCGCATGCGTAATGTAAATAAATAAACTTTGTCTGATTGAAAATTTTCTTTTTGGTGTACGCAGGCACTAGTTGTTCTAAGTTTTGTGGTGTCTGGTAAGTTCCTTATATGACATGATGTCACTGGGACAAAAATTGCAAATTTTCATTCAACGCAAAAATTGGGATGTGGACATGGACTCTCCCATCCTCATTATTGAAACAAGAAACAACGTATTTCCATTTATTAATTTATGATGGCATTTTACTTCCACTCTTCATATTACAACACTCTACTTTCCATTTTTTAAATATTATTTAAGCTATTGTACTTTCAAAAAGAGAAATTAAATATCTTACTTTTTGTTCCTACAAATCCTCCTATCCAATTAAATAGTGACATGTGTAACATTTAATGTTCATTTAATGATATTTTAATATACTAATATGACATATATCATCATTTAATTGGGTAGTAGGATTTGTAGGAACAAAAGTAGGAGGATATTTAATTTCTCCCACCCAATTATCGGGCTATTGTACTTGAAAAAATCTACTCAAGTGGAGCATGGCAGTAAAATTGGTTTGTATTTTGATGAAAGCTGCTTGCCTAGATTGGGTATATTTTTGAAAGTGTAATAATAGGAAGAAATAAAAATTATGCTCTAAGGAACAAATAAATGAAAACGAGTTGCTATTTCTTGCATATTCGAAAATAGCCCTAGAAACCTTGTTCATTTAGTTAGTACTGAAATTGGTTGGTTGCAGTGGTGTTGATGGTAGTTGTGACGAAAGTTGCAAAGTCGGCTCTTGAGAAGGCTTTGGCAGAAGATGTGGATAAAGCTGTAGTAGATGACATCGGCAGCAATTCATCCACTGTTGTAGATCTGCATGAGCCGCTGCTTGTGCAAGATTAGATTGATATTCATTCTTCCAACATTTCTCTCTATTCCTGTATGTATAGTCTACAAACAAAAGACCAAAATTACTGTAAATACATAAGTCATTATTCGTAAGCTAGAGTCGGATTTTATTTTAGAAAAATTAAATATCCTCCTACCTTTTTTTTTTTTTTTTTCTTACTTATCTTTCCACTCATATAAAACAATGACATGTGAAATGTATTAATTTCCATCTCTTAATTTTCCCTTTTGATTTTGACACTTGTTTTGATTTAGTGAGTAGGAAGAAAAAGTCAGGATGATATTTGATTTCTCTTTATTTTATTCTTTTTACTACTTTGTATTGCATGCCTAGCGAAACGACTCTCACTTATTACTTCGGTTGGACTAGACTTAGACTCATGTCCTCAAGATAAAAGGTGTACAACCAAAAAAACATGAATGAGATGGACAAAAGTTCCACATCTAAAAAGGTGAAACAAACTCATTCTTAATTTATGTTATTATTATTGTTCAAAAGTATTCTTAGAAAACTTGTCTGGTTTTGCCCCTAGTGACAATAATGTTGGTGAATTGTTTCACCAATTGTATTTGAGTGTACCTCCGATGATCTGCGAAGATTGGAACTCGTCGGAACAACTCACATTGGTTTCGCAGTTTGGTGTTTTACCCGTCGGTTATAGCTATTATCCAGTGGTTACATTAGAAATCTGAATTAGTGAATATGGACTTGGTTTTTGACCTTGTATTTATCTTATTAAAATGTCTGTTTTTTTTGTGATAGGTTTGATTGTTGGAGACAATTTTGGGACAAAAAAACTATCTTGTGACAGCTTTCAAACAAGTGGCATACTTAACCATATTTTGGTCAAAATTTTGGTATACACGGAGTTTTCTCTCATTTTACGAGTCTTATCCAATTGAGGATCTGAGAGTACCACCAAAATACTTCGATTTGAAAGTGTAACACGATTCTCATAATTCCAAGTGCAATTCTTACCCCAAAATTCTAACAAATATCAAAGTATTTGTGATCATGGCAAGTGGTGATTACGTGAAGGACATGACAAACAAGCTTGACAAACTGAACAAATTTGAAGGGCAAGATTTTTGTAGATGGCAGAAGAAGATGCACTTCTTCTTACTACTCTGAAAGTGGTGTATGTTCTGAGTATACCCATGCCAGAATTTGCTAAAGATGAAACTTTGGAGTAAGGGTGAGCATAATAACCGAAAAACCGAATCAAAATCAAATTAACCAATATAACCGAACCATTTTAAAAAACCGTTGGTTTGGTTTCGAATTTTTGTTAACCAATAACTAACGGTTCAGTTATGGTTTTATAGGTTAACCGAACCATTATTAACCGAATCGCTAACTTTATATTTTAATATATAAAAATTATAGATTATATATAAAATAATATAGTTAAACTTATTTAAGACCCATTAAAATTTTAAAATATAATCCATTAATCCTCACTTATCAGGAGACGGGCGAGCAATCAAAACATCAAAGGCTGATCAGGCAGACACACACAATCTTCCAATCATGCATTGAGTTAGATTATCGATTAATGTTGTAATTCCTAATCGACTAATTCTACAATTTGTAAACATTATTCATAATTAGTTCAATCTTCACACTCATAATCCTAATCGAAGGCTTCTCACACCGTTAATCATAATCAAAGATTGTTTTGACTTTATAGTCCTATTCGAAGGATTTTTTGACTTTATAATCAAGACTTCTAGGTAAGTTAAGTTTTTGTTCTTCTTAACTTTGTGATATATTAAAAACTGTTTTTGACTTAATCACATTGAATGTATATGAGTGTTTGACCCCTTTTTTTTTTTTTTAAATCCAGATAACACATAATATAACACACAATATGAACGTTTGACTCTTTTATTCTACAGTTTTGATTTAATTGCATTGAACATGTATGAATATTTGGCTTTATTTTAATGTTAATATCAATTATCAATATATGAAATTATTAATGTCAATTTTTTTTAATTATATTTTTATTGAATGTTTTTTATTTTGAATGTGACTATGTGTTATCTCACTTTGAGTATTAAATGTACACATTTTATTCTATTACTATAAGCTAGGTTACAAACATTGGCGCCAATGACTTTTTTGTATTTTCTTTTCATTTTTATGCCAATATACTGCGCCAATGACTTTTTTGTATTTTCTTTTCATTTTTATGCCAATATACTTTGGCCATTTATATTATTTCGAACATTATGGTTAACCAATATTAACCATTAACCAAAACTGTTAACCGACAAAAACCATTAACCATAACCAATATTAACCATACTCAATGGCTACCAAAATGCATTAACCAATCATAATGGTTATGGTTTGGTTTTGACCAATAACCGAACAAAAACGTCCTATACACACCCCTACTTTGGAGGCAACAAGAAGAAGATCAAAGTGGAACAATGATGACTACATCTATCATGGTCATATTCTCAATGGTATGTCTGACTCTCTGTTTGATATCTATCAAAATGTTGAAACTGCAAAAGAACTTAGGAAGAGTACACGACTGGAGATGCTTCACGTAAGAAGTTTCTTGTCAATAACTTTATGGGTTACAGTATGACTGACTCCAGGCCTGTTATGGAACAATTCCATGAAATGTTAAAGATCAAGGGAAAGTTTGCTCAACACAATCTGAAAATGGATTAAACTATTTCTATCGTTGTGATTATTGACAAACCGCTCCCTTCCTGGAAAGATTTTAAACATAATCTGAAACTTAACAAAGATGAATTAACTTTGACTCGACTTGGAAGCCGTTTACGGATTGAAGAGTCCTTAAGGAATCAAGAACTTGATAACAATCCTAAAGGCAAGAACCAAGTTGGTTCCCCTTTTGTGAGCATGGTGGAAGAAGAAAGTTCAAAGAATCCCAAAAAGTCTAATGGAAAAAGGAAGTTTAAAGGAAAGGATTACAAGTCTTCCAAGAAGAAGGAAAAAGTGGTTTGTTGGAATTGCAACAAACCAGGTCACTTCAAAAAAGATTGTAGTCCTCGTAAAGTGAACAAGGATGGTGCTAGTGATGCGATTATGGAAGGCGATTCTCCAACTTCAAATTTCCAGCCCAACTACAAGTGGTCACGATCGGTTGCGAACGGATATGAACGATCACAATCTGTCGGAAGGCGTTTCTTCAGCGAAAACTATGAGTCTGGAGGCGATAAGTTGTGACGGGCTGTTGATGGATGCGAACGAGTGTGATTGGGTGCGAACGATCGCAAGGTGTTACATTCACATTTAGACTGTTGCAAAGGATGGAACACATCAGAGTTGTTTGGACTAATTCGTTGCGAATGGGATTCAAGGCAAAGAATTACGGCTGGTTCCGACCAATCGGAATGCATCAGAGTCTCATGTTACGACGGGGTGCGAATGTGATTCTCGGATGCCATCAGATCCTTATTCCAACAGCTTGGTTCTGATGGGCTGTTACTTGGTGTTGGCTCCGATGGGTGACTTGTTGTTGGTTTCGATTCTGAACACATCTTACATTCCATTGGACTACTCGGTTCCAATGGGACATTTGGATGCGATGGATAACTTGGTGTTGGATTATTTATTATGTCGTGTCAAATTTATTATGTACGTAATTAGTCTTTATTAACAGATTGGGCCTGTCCATCCATCATTATGATGCTAGGGTTAGACTATTTATAGTGCATACATGTATCGTTCTAGGTCAATCATTTTGTATTGCCCTACATTGCTTTTACAGAAAAGTTCTTGGCGAACTCTTCTAAAGCTTTGATTATATAAAACAGTCGACACATCTTTGATTATTGTTCTTATAGTTTGATTCACTTTACTGTTACTGAATCTATCGATCTTTAAGTTATTGTTTCATCAATTGGTATCAGAGCAGGAGATTGTGTAACTCATACGCAAATCTTTTGTCGAGTATTATTAGGGTTTTGAGTTTCTGGTGGATTTGTTCTTGTCATCTTCATCGTTTTCATCGATTGTAGACGTTAGATCTGGGTCCTTGTTTTACCCTAAACTCGATTATTGTTTTACACATCTGATTCTATATAAGTTTTTGTGAATCAACATCATGCAACCAGAAGATCCTCATACTCTTTCCTTCAATCTGTCCAGCAACATCGGATCTACTACCAGAGTCCCAATCCTTTTTCCGCAGGATTATGAGGTCTGGGCACTGCACTTTGAAGACTACGTTCTTGGCCTTGAGGATCATGGCACTTTAATATGGGAAGCCATGACCCATCAGACGTTCGCACACACTGCTACAAGGAGGATCATTAAGACTCAAGCCGAATCAATACTCTTCTTGTTGACGTTAAAGATGTCTCAAGATGAAAAAGACAAACTGCTAAGAAACATCAAAGTGATGAGAATAATCAGGTTCACTCTTCCTCCAGACACTTTTCATCTGGTAAGTTCATGTGATACTGCGAAGGAGATTTGGGACAGGTTGAAAGAGCTTTATTCAAGTGATGTAGATCTGGAACACTCAGTTCAAACATTACTTCTTTCGGAGTTTGGTGCTTTTGTTCAGAAGTTTGATGAAAAGCTTGATCAGACCTTCAACCGTTTTAATCATCTATTGAGCAGAATGCTTAAACATAATCTCAAGCGTGAAAAGATTAAGCAAAAGGTTACATTTATGAATGGATTAAGGCATGAATGGAAAGCTGTAGTGTCCACAGTAAAAGCTCCTGAACAGTTTAAGAGTTATACTCTGGCAAAGCTTGTGGGAATTCTAAGATCCCATGAACATGAGGTGACGAAGGATGTGAAGATTGTGTCCAACATAGGTTCATTGGCCTTGGTTGCAAAAGGAAAAAAGGTTGCTGAAGAAGATTTTGAATCCGACTTTTCGGATAGTGAACTTACCAAAGAGGAACATGCTCTTATGGTATCTAATCCCAAAAAGTTCATCAAAAAGAATTTGGTCGGTTTAAGAACATGAACAAGCAGGGAAACTTCAGCTCTGAAAGGTCAAGAGAAGAGAGCTTCAAGAACTCTCAAAAGGAAGAAGACAAACAAGAGAAAAAGTTGTTGGGAGATTCTGGCTATGATTGCAATTACTGCCATGACAAGAATCATTTTGCTAAGGATTGTAAGTTAAGAAGGTTGA